CGTCAGACCCAACAAAACCTGCCCGTCTACAGTAGATCACCCCTCGAATCGGGCGGCCTCCAGACCCATCATGACAAACACAATAGCAGTGGCGAGAGTCACGATCAGACCTGTCCGAATAGATTACGCGCAGTGATCGCATGGGGAGGGGGGTTGACTTCCTCATTCGGCAACCAGAAGGGTGTTTCGAGACATGTCATTGGTTATGGGACCCCAAGATCTCTTGGCCATCTCCCTCCACCCCGAAGGGGTCTCAGCAGACACACAGATTGACGTCGTTGTGGTGTGGGTGTGGCTTGACCCCCCACACCTCCTCCTCGCTCTCCTCCCTATCATTTTGTCTATCATTTCCCAAAACGGTACACAATGTGGCGAATGCATGTATGTCTCTGATCTGGGTCCAAGCCGTGTGGTTTTATTCTTTGTTTTTGTAGCCGGTACAGACTAAGGGCTACTATGGGGAATAATAGAATCTGTACTTACTTACTTTGGCATATGGAACTTCATTAGTACGTACACGTAGGCATCTACGATCCAACGAACATGACCGGCGGTGAGAAAACTTGGGAAAGACAGGAGAAGTCTCGTGGTCAGAAGTTTAGGCTTGCACGTGTCTGTGACGATTGATGTGATGACATGCATGTTTCTAGCTTGGTTACGTGTGTCTCTCTCTCTGTACCTTGGCCTTCAGGAGAGGAAACAGAGAGGTGAGGAGGGAGAAGAGGGAAACAAGAACAGAAAGAAAGAGGGGGGGGGGATGAAGGAGAGGGGGGGAAGATCTTGTCTGAATTCCCTTCCCCAAGATCATCTCCAAGGTATGTACAGCTGTGGCGTGGCGCCCTCGTGGCACCCAGGGGAGCCACGGTGGCAGCTGAAACATGCATGTTGATCGCCCGAGCCACTGGGAGCTCGCAGCGTGCACCCTCCCTTTTCCCACCACCCTTCAACCCGGCACAGAGAGGAGTGTACATAGTTGCCATGTTGCGTACAGTTTCTTTCCCAATGTTTGGAAACTGTGGCTAGTGCATCGTACCCCGGCCCCCTGGCTGGTACATGTGGTGGAAGTACTGTTTGTCGAGACAGATTTTCCCACTGTCCGTTCTTGGGCCCAAACGTTCTAGGCCCAGGGCCATACGATGGACAAAAACAACAGAAGAAAAAAAGAAGACAGAAAGATCTGCCTTTCTGCTGTATGATCTGGGAGGCAACCCATGAGCTCGGGACCCTCTATTCCATTTACGGTTATCAGTTGCCAATCCCCTCGTAGGGTTTTGCGACACCATACGTAGGTGATCGACAGGACTGCTGCTGTAGTGTTGCTATGGTGGTGGTGGTTCAGACTTGCCACATCAGAGGCTGAGCAGGGGGCCTGTGCTAACTGAATACACTACTAACTGTGATGGCCCTAATGGGGTAGTGCCTGCTATTCCCGTACCAAGTACTGATCGTACGATGACAGTACTACAATATACTTTGCGTTCTTCCCTGGCTGCCGCCATTCCCTTTTTTCCTCTTATGCTTGGCCCCTTCCCCGGCTACCGGTATCCAGTGTCGTCCGTGCGTCCCCTCCCCCCCCCCCCCCACGCGCGCGCGCGCCCCTGGCTACGACAATGTACAAAGTACTTTCCATAGTAGAGTACTTACATCCTGCGATATGCCTTCCTAGACGGGCTCAGCGCCACCGTCTGTCTAGACCAGATGTGGCGAGTGAGAAGCAAAATAGAGAAGGGAAAACAACCACCCACGTCCCATGTCCCACATCGCACCGCATCGCTTGGCTGCATTTGCATTTGCATTCGCAGCTTGCAGCTTGCAGCCGCGCAAGGTACAACTGCGACTTTGTTTTGTTAGTCTGCATCCACGTCTTGTTCAGCTGACGGGATTGCCCTTGAGGCCACACACACACACACACACACACACGAGAATGGTAACGCAGGGTGGCAAATATGACAGTATGGCAAGCCACACCCGAGCGTGTCACCAGGCCACCAGCGTTAGCTCTCCCCATCACGCCTTAGCTATCTCTCATGTTCGTCTTTAATTGTTTCCCTCCTTGTGGCTGAACGCGCAAGTCTCGCCACACCTAATCTACTACCCCTCTCAGCCAGCGCACCCGGCCGGAAACAAGGGGAACCGACCACTCGCCCCAAAATCTCGACCACTGTGGCTTGAAAGTGTATCCCAACCCCTTCCCTCTTAGCTGCAGATGACGGACGACACCTCACACAGAGCCAGAAAACCAACAAATGAGCAACCTCGAGGCCCAATTGGCAGAGCTACGATGGAAGATTCTATTACGAGCTGGGGCATGATTGGGGAGGGCGCACATGCAGCAGCAGCCATGGATCAAGCGCGTCGGACGGGATCTCATGTATCCGGGCGGAAATGTGTGCTGCTTAGGTCGTTCTTTTGGGGAACAGAAACAAAAGCACAGGCCAGCTCTTTTTTCTAGTGCAAACCCAAAAAGGGAAAAGAAAAAAAAGAAAAAAAAGGACTGTAGGGGATACGAGAGAAGAGAAGGGGGGGGGGGACTGGTTGGTTGGCTCTGAGCTCTAAAACGGCCGTCAAAACCTCGGGCCATCATCACTGCATTATCCCCGGTGCGATTGTCGATGTCGACTTTTGACAATGCCATTGTGCCTCTCTTCCTCTGGTCTTAGCCCTGGCCTGTTCGGGCAGGGGTCTCATCTCACAACGGCGTCAGATATGTACCCAGTTACCGTCTGCCCTCGGTGAGTCGTAACTAGTGCTGGTGCTGGTGGTGGTGGTAGACAGCCATCAACAAGGCAGGGGTAGATGGCGTTGTGTACACATAGGCAGAGTAAAAGACCTTTTTTCTCCTCCACTGTGTACAATACCAAGACCTTCATGCTCTCTGTCTACATGTAGGTACGTACCTCGCGCAGCACGACACTGCGTATCCAGACCAGACCTCAACCTAAAACATAAAAGAACCACTGGGATTGGCGGAACCAAGAACGAAGAGGTTTGGGGGAGGATGAGACGCCACGCGCTACTATACTGTGGTACCATACACACCATGTTAGTATCTTACGAGTACCTACTGTACTAGACCTGTAGTAAGGTATCTCATTCATTCTATCATGCTCTTCCAACATGCAGGAGGGACCTCCCCCCCCACCCCCCCGGTTGCCCTCCGAGAACGGGTCGAGGGGAAGCAAAGTGACAGGCGAAATTACCCGTGCCTAGCGTCCAGACGTCGATTCTTCCAATCGGGCTTTCAAGATGGACTTTGACAAGGGGACCTCTTTTATTATTTTTTTCCCTTTTTTTTTTTTTTCCCTTTTCCCCTCTGGCACGATGCACCAGGCAGGGGGATAGGGGGGAGGGGGAGGGTTCAAAGTCTCAGACCATCTACCCTGTGCATTGATTGCGTTTAAGCGGGCAAGCAAAGTAAAAGATTGCACAGACACACACGCACATCCACACAACTGGTGATCATGCTGTCATGTGTGTACTCATCTCTGTCATGCTTCCCTAGCACGTAACGGCTAGTACATACAAGCATACCTACATTCATACATACGTCACTTGATGAGCCATGTTCTACTTCTTGGGGCCAGAGCGAGGCCCATCTTGAGAGAGAAAGAAAAAGAGAGAGAGAGAGAGGGCTGATGAGAACTTGTCGTCCCCAGATAATTTGATCCACACATAACTTGGCCAGGCGGAGATTAGAGCCCTGCCCATTCCCTCTTAGCACATCATTACCACCACCACCACTAATCTGTGCCGACCCCATTAGTTCTTTTCCAGCCAGTCACAGTACAGCAATCCCACCCCCATCTCCTATCCTGACACTGACCGTTGAGACAAGACACAGATATTCAGCCGCCGCGGGAAGAAGGGAAGAAGGGGGGTGCTCGAATAGTTGGTAGCGGGCGATCCTGAGCCGGAGATGAAATCCACTGAACGGTAGCCCGTATGGCCTCTGTACGGAACTAGCCGCCGAGGCGCCCTCATTTACTGGAGACACAAGATAGGTAGAGGGAGTGACAGGGAATGCGTCAATTTCAGACTTGAAGAAGTTGGGTGTGGCGTCGTGGTGGTGATTGTTTCTTGGTGAATAATGTTGTTGTTATTGTTGTTGTTATGAGAGTGTGGTGTGCCCGCACAAAAGTCCCATTGGTGGTGAGGTTCATGTTCCGCCCTCCGCATTGCTGCCCAAATAGTATATCCCATCACTCTTAGCTGTATCTGTCTCCCTCTCTCTCTCTCGGTGACCGTATTCACACATTCGTCAACCCTTCTCTATTTCAACTTCCTCATCTCAGGCCAGACATCAATCCCAGCGTTTCCCGTAATACCCAAATTAACCCTGGGCCTGCCCAAGATCGTCACCTGCACTACGTAGCACAGGATAACGATACACATTCATGCATACACACTCACTCACTCACACAGACGACGATTGTTTCATGTTTCTTGTCTTTTTTCCCACCCCCAAATGACCAATGTAAATATGCTTCACGGGGTTCGCCCTTGACCGCTTCTCCACTTAAATGCTGTCTCTCCCGGTCCTTTCTAACCTTGAAAAAAGAAAAACCAAAAAAAAAAAAAAAAACCCCATAATAATACCATTTTCCTCGCATTGACATGACCAAAAAGCCAATGTTCGTCCCTTTTTTTTGACGACATGTAAAAATATCCAGAAGGAAAACTGGCCCACAACCGGGGGCACTTGGTATCTCAGAGGTTGATTGCCAACGCCGCGTATATGTATGGTTATGTGCCGGGGGAAAAAACGTAAGAAAAATTAAATAAAAAAGAGAAACAAGACAGAAAAACCACCTCAAATTGATGCGTATGCGTATATGTGATCGTGTACGTAGTGAATGTTTTTTTCTTCGCTGGTCGTAGTATGGTGAGGGATTACAAGACTTGGGTCTAAAGAAATCTCATCCCAGAAGAACAAAAAAAGAAGAAGAAAGAGAGGCTCCGCCTCCCAGTTGATGTTGTGTATATGTGTGTATGCATCAAAGTTAAAAGGTAAGGCGAAGTTCGTAACTGTTCTGCTGCAGTGTTTGACCAGGGACTTCATCGTCCTCGTCGCCTGGTGCATCGTCCAGGGACATTTCCCACTCCCGCTTGACTGGTGCTTTGGGTGGGCTTATCTCAACAATGTCGAGCATCATGTCCTGCCCCTCGGGGAGCTCTCGTATGACGTCGTCATCCATCTCGATCTCAAGGCTGTTTGGTAGCGTGCGTATAACCCGCGAGACACGGTTGACGTCGATATTCCATTTGGATGCTACGCGGGTGACGAATTCACTAAGCGTCCGCTGCATGACATAGACGGCCTTGTGGTACTCGCGCGTCTCTGTGCTTGTCTGTCTCCGCTTGAGATAAAAGCAAGCCACCGGGCGCGGTGCCCGCTCGAGAGGTGGCCGGTAGGATGAGTCCACGCCGAGGGCCTCGATCCAGCCGCTGAGATTCCCGGCAACGTCCGGCTTGGCAACACGGGTTGGCTGATCAGAGCCCTGTCGAGACGATGGGTCGGACCCGATGGCTGGGCGATCCTGCCACGGCGCGTTGGGAGCTGTGATGGATGCTGCCGAGTGAAGGGACAGCGAGCTTGGGGATGGTGAGACCAGCGACCCGGTAACCGAGCTGTGTGTGCTGCGGCCCCTCCAGGCCGTGCTCTCTCTGGACTCGATCTTGCTCAGATCGAGGACTTCTCCTGGCAAGGAGACTGGGTGTGCGTCCATATCGTCCATGTCCTCGCCTCGGAGGTACAGCACGCTGACTGGACGCGTGCTTGTGAACATGTCCTGCAGCGTCTGGAGCTTGAAGTGCAGGTCCTCCTCCAGCGCGTTGCGAGCCCCGCTGCCGCCGTCTGCAGAGCTCGCCGACGACATGGACCACGTGCGCTTGTGCTTAGGAGCCTTTCCGGGCCGCTGGCTGTCGACAGCTGCTTTTGACTGCGATCCCCCAGCCCGCTTGCGCTTGCCAAAATCCTTCATCCCGCTCTCGGCTTGCGTGATCTGCTGCTTGAGCTTGTCGATCGTCTTCTTGACATGGGCCACATCATTGGACAGCTTGCGTTCTGCGCCGTGATCGCGGAAGAGCTTGACCTTGCAGTAGCATATCTCAGGCGTCTCATCCCCTGGTGGCGAAGCCCCATCGGACGGCAGGAGGGTCGTCTTGGCACAGAGTCGGACTGGGATACCTTTGACGCCCTTGGAATGACTGAAATCGGTCGAGAGGAAGTTGAAGCGCACAGCCACATTGCATTCGACAGCACCATTGACACCAGGCGTCCAGATTACCGAGAACCCATCAAAGGACGCGCTCTCCAACTCGACTCTTGTTCTCTTGTCGTCGCCTTCTGCCGGCTGGCCTGCCTCGACGTATTCCACTGCCTGAAGCTTGCCACCCCTCTGGTGCGCCTCGTTCGTGCCTCGGCCTTCCTTCCACAGGCTCCAGCAGACGCCGGGCTTTTGCCGCTGTTGGTCATCCTCGAAGGAGACACGAACAAAGGTCCTGAGGCGCGTTCCTGGTGCGATAGGGATGGTGGGTGTGGTGTCCACAATGGACAGCGAGTACGCCTGGCCCTTGTTGAGGTACGTAACAGGTATTTCGTCGGCGTGTTTGATCATGGCCGTCGGGGCGTTCAAGGTGACGTGGAACCGGAACTTTTCTGCAGAGGAGGGCATGGGCATGTGCATTGGCACGCCGTACTGCCTCTGCTGGAAACTGGTAAGAGGAGACTGGCTTTGGAAAGCGCCGGCGATCGATCCCATGCGAGCATCGTCTGAGGGGTCAGAATCCATCGGGGAGCCATCCTGGTCCATCGTCTCGTAGCCTGTATCCTGGTGGACAAATGTTGACGGCGCGAAGGCCTGCTGCTGTGGGTGAGGCTGGACGAAAGGATTGAAAGGCGACTGGTTGTGAAACTGGCTGGGATGCATGCCGGTAGCCCCGTGGTGAAAGCCAGACATGTCCACCATGGAGGGACCAGACTGCAGGGCTGCATCGGTGGTAGGCATCGAGAGGGGGGTACTCAGACCCATACCGAAACTTAGCGTCGGGGTGTGCAGGTCGCCAGCCTGAGGGTGGTAAATGGTGTTGGTCCCTCCTGGAGTCGGTGTGTAGTAGCCAGGAGGCGCGTTGGCGAAATTAGAGAAGGAGAAAGAATTCGGGTCCATCAGGGAGGGCGTGAACCTCCAGGGCTCGTTGCTGGCCCTGGGGGTAGGGTCTTGGTCATGGAACGCTTCATGGCCCAGAGCCGGGTTTCTGCAGAAACAACTTAGTCAATATCGAGTTCTTCTTGTAGTACAATGAGAGATTTGCTGCACTATTGATAACATATAGTAACGACAATTGCAGCCAACCCTAAAAAGGGCCAACAACCATCATGCGCACCAATGTTGTCCGCCTGTGTGGTGGTTTGGCGCATGAGTCGGTTGCAAGTGGGAGAAAGGGTCCGGGGTGTGGTTGAGCCACAACAAAAGCCTCAAGCGCGGGATCGCCTCGGCGAAGTCACAACACAGCGCATGTGCTTGCTGTTGCCACCACCCACCCTGTCACTGGGAGGTTTGGGTAGGGAGCGGCCAGCAGGAAACTCAAGTGCGTTGTAATGCCTTGAATCCCAGACAGGCCGGCACTATGCGCGCTACAAGTCGTACCGGCCAACGCCGGACCGCGCGCAAGAGAAGGGCGATCGCCCCCCCACCAGACTGAAACCAACCCGACTGGGACGGCAGAAGATGGATAATGCACCACACCATGGCCAAAAGAAGAGGTCATATGTGTGGAAAGAATAGAAATCAGGCAAAAAAAAAAAAAAAAAAGGGGGGGGGGGTTGGAGAAGGGGAAAAAGGGGGCTGTCGGAACATACCTGTCCTGTGTACCAGAGGCACCGCCCGGGTTTCCAGCCGTAGCTGTCTGTGAAGCAGAGGCGGCGGCCGTAGAACCTGATGCAATTTCTGGGAACTGTTGTCTGAAGTTGGCGACCAGGTCGTCGCCCGGCTTCTGCGAGCTTGTCCTGTAGAAAGTGCCGATAATGTCAGCTTCTGTACTCTCGTCCTGTTCCCTCCTCGAACGCCGCTCAACAGCCATGCGACCAGGCCAGTTTTGCCCCTCTCCCCCTTCTCTTCTTAAAGCCCAACCCGTCTCCTCAGTAAAACGAGCCCGAGCGTGACGCAGGCTGTCTTCTTAGACACTAGAGATTTGAGCGCCAGCACCTGATGCAGACTCGAGCTGAAACTGTGCAGGACAGAACCGTAACCAGGTTGCGGTGCAGGGCGTCACATGTCTATGCAAGATGGCGCAGAGGAGAACCATGGCGCATCAGGAAGGGGGGCAGGGTTTTCTGTGGCGCAAGTGAAGTTGCTGGTTTGTATGCTTACCTTTGGCGGAACATCTGAGCTGAAGCGACCTTGTGATGTCCAGAGACAGCCTTCTGGGTAAAAATCCAACAAGATGTGTTTGTATGTGGGTTTTCAAAATGTTCTCAGTAGGAAAAAAAGAATCTCCAGGTTGCGCGTCGCAAGATGCGCCCTGGGAGGATGTTGCCGAGATGAGCTTGCACAGACCACGATAGCGGGCCGCAGTGGGAGGATCGCGTGTTCGTGGTCGCCGTAAAGGGCTAGGTGAGGTGACGCGGATGCGGGCGCAAGGGCGGCTGCTGCTGATGTTGAGACTGGCGATGTCTTGGGGCGCAGGTGGGGAGAAACTGCGTCCTGCGGCTATCTGACGTTGGTCGGTGTCCGGTGGTCAGGCGAGAAGGAGGTTGCTGCAGCCGTCGTAACTTCATAGATCGTGGAAAAGATGATTCCAAGGTCAAAGCTTCATATGCCACCTTGAATAGAAAGTATGGTGGGGTTGGATTCGTAGGTCGCGAAGGAGATTCGATCAGAATTATGCGCAGTGCGACATGAGGGATCACGTCAGGGTGTCCGTTCTGTCTCTTTGTGTCCTTTTCTTTGGTTTTTTTCTTCTTTCCCGCCGCTCTCACTTCTGTATCTGCGGCCCAGGGCTGCAGGGACAGGACAGGGCAAGGCAGAGAAGAGTGCGTGCAAGGCTGGCGGCGCAACCCAGGTCCAAGTGAGGTTGCCGGTGTGAGCGCAAGTTCTCAGGTCTTGTGCAAGTCGAGGCGCCTTAACTGCGGTGGTTGGCTCTGAAGTTGGGGAAGACAGGTCGAAAGGGACGACGAACGAGAGACAAAGGCCAGTTGGGTTGAGAGGCAGACAAGGTGCCGTGCTGAAGATGACGAGGCAGTCGATGAGGTGGAGGAGAGTGAACCAGAACTAAGAAGTAGAGAGAAGTGAGAAAAAAAAGAGTAGCAAGACCAGAGGAGGTCAGAGGAGGAGGTCAGAGGAGCCGCGCGAGATTGCGGCGCGGCTTTACAATATAATACGCGCGGGAGAGCGATCTTCGAAATGGGGACAAGGCAAGTGCAGGACAGGACCACGCGCGATGATTGCAAGGGTGACCTGGGAGTCTTGGGTGAGGTGTAAGAGCTCGCTAAGCAGATCGCGGGTAGGGCAGAGCTTCGAAGGGGCCGGGGGAGAGAAAAATAAGATATAACAAAATAAAATAAAAGATGACAAGAGTGAGGACAGCAGCAGGCCCAGCGAGCCAGATGTACCCTCAAAACCCACGCAATGTCGGATATGGATGCCCGTATGAAGGAAGTACCATAGTACCATAAGTCACTATGGCAGAAGACGACAGGGTGGTGGGTGGGTGTGTAAGTAAGTATGTGTGTGTACAGTACAGTACAGTGTACTATGGTACGGTACAGTACAGCGACAAGGCAAGCCAGGGATGCAGCCAAGAGGGTGGAGGGGCCACAGCGCCGGGGTTATTTTATTCTGGGCACCGCAGTCTGAGTTCCATATTAGGTCAATGGCTTGGGCTAGAATGTTTTGCCCGTGGTACTTCATGGTGGGGGATGGCATTTCTCCAGTGACTTGAAATCTTGTCTATTATGTGTACAGGAAAATGGGAGCAATAGTAAAAGCCAGCAACAAGACAGAGAGAGAAGAGAGAGGGAGGGAGAGAGAGCAAGAAATGAACAGCCTCCTGACTGATACTATGCAAGTTGCCTTGTGTCCTGGTAGCTATGTATCATGTACTGTGTCATAACCCCTCACTAATATGAGGACCGATGTACACAGTACAGTAATTCGCGCTGATGTGGGGGAGGCCTGACAGGAAACGCCATCAGGGGTGGGCTGCCCCGAGGTTAGCCCCAGAAGGTGTGTCGAGAGGTATCGACCCTAGCGTCAAGAGTCAGTTGGGCAAGAAAGAGACAAGAGTCAAGCGTGCGCTAAAGTACTTGCCCACGAGGTCACCGTTTTTGAGCGCACCGTCCGGCACACGGTGTAGGTTTACGGCGCGCTTCGACATCTCGATCGGCCTACCAGATAGCATCATGGGGGGCCGAGGTACCCTAGTACATGTTTTGTTAGTACTATGGCAGCTGCTCGAATGGCTATAAGCAGGGGTGTGGGGAGGCGCCGGTCCGCCTGAGAGCCCTGAAGGGAGGAAACAAATAAAAGAGAAAAAAGTGCAGGCTCATCGTAATACCTGAACATCCTGCACTATAGTGGTCGGAGACGAGACAAGAACAAAGTCTTGAAGGAAGAACCAACAACCCATAGTACACAGCACAGCATGAGCCGACTGCTGCAGAACGGCAATACTCCGGTTACGGGTACAAAAGAAGGACACGGAGACGCGCTAAGTACCTGGCGAAGAAGACTGGACGGGTACTCCGGGCCCTTGTGCTTTATGCTGGGTTGTGTTATGATGCCATAGGACATGGCATGGTCCTGATCATGGGCGGTACTGTAGTACGTACAGGACACAAGAGTCTACCCTCTCGTGCCTCTCTCCCCACCCCGTTTCTATGCGTGTGTGTATTCTGTCTCTCGCATCGAGATTGCCACTGCCTGTGGCGCTGTCAACAGGGATCCCTGTGATCTGGACCCGACAACATGGACAGCAGACTCCCGTAGAGCCCTGCTCTATACATACGTAAAATATCACTGCCAGTATAGGAAGCCCCTTCACAGTCGCCAGACGTCTCGAGATCCAGACCATTCATTCACCCTAGGAAGGGATCGAGCATTGTGGGGAGATGGCTTCCAGGTCGTGGGCTGCCTCCTTCTTCCCCTCCTTCGCTCCTACCTCTGTCGCCATGCACTTGGCCCGATCATCCATTCTGTGTGTGTCAGTGTGTCAGGTGAAGAAAAGGGAAAAGCAAACAAGAGGCAAAAGAAAACCCCATAGCATCTGAGCCAGCATGCTGAACAGCACCTCGTCATTCGGCTCAAGCAAGGATGTCTGCCCTGGCCTGTTATCTGGCACATAGATGCATGGTTTATGGCATGGCGTCCTGTCTCGAAATCCGTGCAGGTCTCTCTGTCTTTGCAGTTCGGTGTGGCGGTGCAAACTGTCTCTACCGCCGGGGTCGGCTGTTAGTGACGTGCGTCTAACATACATAGTGCATACATACATGCACACACACACAGTACATAAGGTTTCATGCTAGATCTTTCCTCCCCCAGACTGCGGCTATTCGACGACTGTTTTTGTTTTCCTGCTTACTTTTTCCGGGTGAGCCCCTATATCGGGGATACTCTGGTTGGGTGCCACACATCCTCAAGTAGGAGCAGGCTATGAGCTATGTCCTGTGTGTCTTGAAGTGTTCTGACGGCCTCGTCAGCTGATGAATTCAGAAGGCTCCATGTATTCCTACAAGGCTTGCGATTGGTTCCATGACAAACACAGACCATTTCGCATCTATCTCGGAGACACCACAGGGATCAGCTACGACTAGTTTTGATTGCAGCTCGGCAAGACGGGAGAGGACTTGACGTACTATGGGAGCCGCCTTCTAAAGGCATGATCGGCGTGCGCCTTCCCAAGCAGAGTATCGGGGGAGGATCATCTTCACCCTATGGAGTTCACGCTACCACTGGCTACCAGCTGCGGCACATTCCACCCGACCGACCGTCACCCAACTCACCATCTGAGTGACTGAACACCTATTTCTTTTCGTCACCTGCCGAATCAACGTGTGGGAGGCCTGTGGCTAGACATGTGGCTCATCCATGATCTTTTTGCCACAACTCGCCACAGCTCTAGCCACAGGCCTCCCAAGTCTTGGGCCGAGACCTGGGGTTTTCAGGTGTCCTCGTGTGCTCTGCTCTGCCACAGCTAAGCTCCCTTACTCTCTCTTTGCCGTGTTGCAGCTCTGCACACATCGTCCAGCCGGTGAAGGATGAGTGGGTTATTGGTCGCAATGATTGTCGTGCTCCTTCCCCCCCCCCCCTTGACTTTAGCACACGAACGGCGCAGCCCCATCAAGACCAGTTAGTCAGACTTGTCGCCCGTAAACGTTGGCTGAGCCGAATTTCAGGACTACCCACTGTTGACAGTGCTAGTCTGACAGTCACAGTCAATGTCAATTATAATAGCACCAACAACGGCTGTCTGCCCTGAAATCCACGGTCCCCAGGTCCGGGTCATGTCCTTAGCAGGAGAAAGGGACAGGGAGGAACCCGTCCGTCTTGGCACGCCATGGAACGGGGGACCGGCGCCAGGGACACTGGCACGCTGGGACGGCATTGCGGGCAATTTTCAGAGGGACCAGAACTAGGCCCTGCTGGGAGATGAAGCCCGTGGTCCACTGGAACCCCCCAAATTGATTGATTACGCAGCGTCGTATCATTTTTTTTTTCTTTTTCCTTTTCGTTTCTTCCTCCCCCTTCTTTGTTTCCCTCTTTCTCCTTTTGGTTGGATGAACTCGGACCCTTTCTCAACCGAAACCGATGGCAGAGAGTAATTATAATTAGTGCACGGTATAAACTTTTTCCCGTTCCATACTAGTATTACAAATGTTCCTCATTTTTTGGCGTGTGTATGTGGTTGTGTTCGAACCCGTAATCATATTGTAAGGGAGGAATGACGGGGAGGGAGAAAGAAAAGAAGAAGAAAAAAAAAGGGGGGGGTGCAAATGCCCACGTGACACGGTCCCTTTGGTTCTCTTACTGATTAGAACATGATGAAATATTTATGTTCTTGCACAGGAGGTTGAGGGGGTTGTC